GCAACATTTTATACGATTTCGGCAAAAAATCTCGCGGGCTTTGCAAGTTGCCCGCAACATTTTTTGTTACCGGCCACCATAGTTTGCAGTGCCTAAAATTACATTCTTTGCTACCTTCAAAATATATTTCTTTTATATTATAAATTTCCAAATTTTCATATAAAAACAATTATCTTGAGTCTAGATGCTTTAAATGTTGTTGTTGTTTTTTTGTTTGTTTAGAAAGACAAAAAAATCTGTATTATATTTTTCTATATGATTTTTTGGCAAAATTTTTATATACTGTAAACTTTCTAGTTTTATTGATTCTATGGTTTAAAATGTCATTTTAATTTTGGCAAAGATACACTTGTTTTTAAGTGTTCACTTTTATGACAATGCGAACTTAATTTATGCGGAGAAAAACGCTTTTGAAAATTGCTGAAGAATTATTCTAAAATGCATCATAAATTTGATAGACTGTAATCTTTATTGAAAAATGTTCATAAAATGGCGGTTGTTCATGTTTTAAAAGGCACAATTATGCCTCAGAACAATAAATGATTACTCTTCAGACGAGGGAAAAACATGTTTCAATACCGGTTTTAGAGAATAATCAGATGTTTTTTAACCCGAAGAGAGTAACGATAATGTGCACTGTTTGTAATAGAAGTAGCAAAATTAATGTAAAAAGTCGTATTTTTGAACTTCCACAAAGACTTTTTCACTATAACTGCACTTAATTACATAAACAAATGAAAAGATAAAAGATGGTATCAGGTAAACTGCCCAAATGCGTAACCACACTTCGGATAACTATGAAAGTACACCAAATTAAAAAGCTTTATGACAAATAAAATTAAAAGCATTTTAGAGGCATTAATGGACCTCTAGGCCATATAATGCGATCAGAAACCATTTTTACTTCTTTAGAACTTTATTATGATTAAATAATTGTTTTAGGGAATATCAAATCATTGTTACCTGAAGAAAATAGGATAAAAGTGTTTTTTTTATAAAAAACAAAAACGTATTTTGACAACCATACAAAATACTTATTAAACTATAATTGTACTTATTCCAAATAGCAACAGATGAAAAAGATAGTAAGGAAATGACCAATGATTAACTTTTTTGAATATTTAAAGAAAAACCAACAAACTTTAAAAAAAGCTTTTTATAGGAATAAAAATGAAAGAATTTTTGAGACATAATGGGTTTTTAAGATTATTTTATTCAATGTTTTCTTCGGAAAATGTTCTGAAAGTCATTTACATTTTTTTATTTCTGATTACATTATTTTAATTTTTAGTCTGCACAAAAGGCAGATCTATCTTTGAAGGTGTTTACATGACCCATCTGACAGGTCAAAGACCTGTGCACGTGCAACAGAAAGACCTCGAAAACGGACCATCTTTTGTTTTAATCAGGTTTATCCGAAAAATATAGACCTGTCAACAGAGGATGTGTGTTAACAAATCAATTTTAAAAAGATATCCCCGATAGAGACACATGGACACTCTATTATAATATATATTATATTTGTTTTGTAATTTAAAACCGGCTTTAAAGGGGGTTTAGATATTACACGCCTAATTTGTGCTAGGTTAATTATACCTTATATGACATGATTGGTCTTTGCTATTAAAAAACAGCTCTGATTAGCTGGCGCAAAAGATCTTAATTGTTATGAATCATTCACATCATCAAGTTTGATTACATTTGTAGCTATACAGTTGTATTTAAATCTGATAAAAAGTCTTGCAACCTGTTATGCGAATATCTTTTGAAAAACTCATCGAGTCGTAAAGTACAGAGTATCTATTTCAAAACAAATGTCATACGTCACTATTATACCTCCACGTTATACCAGAGACCACAATGACGCGGATATGAAACCGAAAATGAAAATGAAAATGAATATTTTCTCCCTTGACATCTTAATATGTTCTACAAGAAACAATATTAGCTCCGACAATCACCTTCTTTAATACTTGTTGAATATTGACAGGAAAACAGTGTTACCTCTTCTCATGCCAATTCTTATTTATCAGTAAGACTCAAGTGATCTATACATAAACATTTTATATTCATTGCAATAAGGCTTTAAATATTCAATTACTGTCACCTATTGACTGTGCACTATACTTTCGTAAGTTTCTTTGAATAATCACCCGTTTCTTCGTATATTCGATTTACTTTGCTCTCATTGTCGTGAGGTATTGTAAGTGTCGGATTCGATCATGAGGTCTCTGGTTCGCATTCCTTACCAAATCCTTGTTTGCTTTTTCTTTTTACTTGCAGAATTAATTTTAATCGGTTTGCTACAACTGTCTTCTGCAGATTTTATTAGTGGTGTTTTTTATTTTACAGTATTAGTTTTGTTTTTTTACTATCTTTCACGTTTCTTTTTTTGACATTATGCAATTGTATATACTTAACGCATACACACTATAAAGGCAGTTATTAAAGATACAACACAGATAGTACACACACAACAAAAACGTTTGCAATAGTTTTTAAGAGGATGGCATTTTTAAAGTTAGAACAAAAAATAATTCGCTGAAATAGGATTCGAACCTTCCAGTTAATTTCTACATTCCTCAATTGAAATACTTTTACCAACTGCGCTAAGAGGGATTTTCATTTTTACAATATTGTTTACATTTATATCGATTTACAAGTAGATCGTAACGTTTACGGAAAATACCGACTACAGGGTCAAATGCAAGAGTGCCAGGTCAATTTGTTGGGCAATACATATTAATTTCGGCCCTTAATTAATCATTTCATGAGTAAATTTAGAGTATAAAACACTCAATGATTGCCGCATCGGTATATTGGAAAACACTCACTGGGTTGCCGTAATCGTTTTGTGGGCTGCGTCGGCATCATTATTGGTTATATAAACTCTAATTTGCACCTTACAACCAAACTACTTATATTGGTTAATTGTTGTTGGGCATTGACTTACAAATAGTTATTGAAGATTCAGAACAGTTATTTGATTACCGTTATTGGTTCAAATATGTTAATAATGATAATATTAATCACTTTTCCAAAAGTCGTTGTCTTTTTAATAGTTAGTTTTATACTTGAAAAGTTTATAATATTTCTTACACGAAAACGAATAAATAAAGCATAAGAACGAATTTCATAAAAATAAATTATATATGATAATTTTATCCAATTACGACCTTAAATACAATGACCTGAAAGAAACGCATCATCAAACGCTTAAAGTTACCGGCATATCGACATCTATTTCTTCTTTAAAGCTAATATATGAATGGCGTCAACCACTAATAAATTTGTAAATATTTACTAAACGAAAACGAATAGACTAATTTAAGAAAGTAATTATCCATTATTCATTAATAGTATAATATAAGATAATTACGATTGTGAAAACGCCATGGTACGATGGTGAAAGCGCGATGGCACAATGATGAAACGCGATGGTACGATGACGAAAGCGCGGTGATACGATGGCGAAAACGCGATGTTTATAAAATGATGCAGCATTGTCTAGATGCCGCTGGTGTTTTTTTTTTTAAATAGATAACCATTATTTCTGGCAGAAATTTTTAATATTTAATGTTTGTATTACGGACTATACACTGTAGATTTTAAACGTATTAATGACATTTTAAACTTTATACGTCTTCGGTTATAACCTAACATGCCCACTTAACACAAATGTTTTATACTATCTTATTGAAATAAAAATAAAACATGTTTATAAAGAAGTAGAACAGTCAGATAGTGTAATTCTTGCTCTGCACTTTACGGAAAAAAACAAACCTAAAACTAATAACTATTGTTTTTGTCAACAGGAAATGGTGGTGACTGTCGTATTTTGGTGTTTCCGCCTGGCACCCCAAGGAACGAAGGTAGGGAAAGTCGTTACTTTGTCGTATTTGCGATTTTTTGCCTGGCACCCCGCGGAGCGAAAATATGGCATGGCAAATATCAGCCGCCAAAATGTTATCAAATATGATTAACAGGATCAAACAGGAAATGCGGCGTTCAATGAATGCAACACACAGAACCCTGCAACAAGAATCAGTAACAAGCAGCCCAGGAGGACCCAAAACAAAAACAGGACATGGCGCAAGACAGAACACGGACAATCTAATCACTTAATGATGTATGAGAATAAATAATAGTTACCGACAAGGAAATCAAAATCAAGGCCCAATAAGTAAAAGGGCACAGGGGATAGGAGATTCGGGGATGGGGGGGGGGGGCGAAATTAAAGAAATAAAACTACGTGCTAAAGGGAAGATACTTACCGTAGACGATAAAGCAAGAAGGGGTCATAACAAAAGTGTCACCAAAGAGTCTTCATAGATTCTAAACTTCAAAGGCATTTCACAAAATAAATTTCGGCTTGTTCCAATTCTTTCAAGAAGAAATGCAACGAGCAACACCACAAAAAATGAGACAAGCAGACGGTTATTTTGCTTTCATTACCAAGAAAGATTAAAGTTGGAATTTTAGCACATTTTTTTGGATTTACTGATAATACTATCAACCATTATTTTACATGATTTTGTCTAAATGTTGACTTGGTATATATCAGCGCTACAAAGTAGACACGTTTCTGGATTCCAAAGTGCCAATTTTACGGTTTTAAGCATGTCTCGATAAAACGAAACCCTGATTATACCAGTAACAGGGATATTCCAGAAATTGGTTGTAAGGTGCAGTCATTTTACTTTATGAATATTTAATTTGGTTGAACCTATGCCCCTGTCAAATGCGTTATAAATGCAGTGACAACATTTTCAAATCGCCACTCGTGATAAATTATCTAAAAATGTTACAAATTATATGTCATTAATTTGTAGTTTAACTTCGAATAGCTTTTTGCGATGTATTTGTTCTGCAGTGAAAATATAGATATTATTATGAAATTATTGATATTATAAATATATTTATTTAGTATAGAAATATTATTCAGTCTAAATTATTGTTATAAAACAACAACAAATTCTCAAAGATTTTCATCAGATACTGTATTGAATGAACCATTGTTTTTTTTGATATGCCCGAGGATATATAATGAGATGTAGACACAGTATGTACAAATTCTACAAACAAATAAATGTCAAATTAATGTTTTTGAAACAATAAAGTTATTACTTGAATTAGTCTACATGTCACATAAGTATGAAGAACAAGTGGTCAATTTGTAAACAGATTGTTATATACATGTTTGATTCTAATTGGTCAATTTAAAACATTTTGTGTATTTTCGGAATTTTTCATTGGTTGACTCTTTAAATGTCTTATGACATACATAACCTTTATAAGCTCGTCGTTTCCTGAAGTCGGCAAAAATAGCATTAGCAAAATAAACTCAGGAAGCTTACGACGATTTTTTTATATCTTTTAGATTTTGAAAATCAATGACTTTAAGTCAGTAAAAGCTCATAGCCTGAGACAATTCCCCAAACCAGAGCAACAACAACAACAAGGAAAAATACGCTGCACAATTAGCGGCACAACACGTGGTGGGTAGAATCTACAAGATCGTAGGGTTTCTCAAGCAAAGCGAGTGCATATGCCACTAAATAGCAAACCATCCAACTACAATCTGAGGTCAACTCTTCCGGAAACCGAAGAAGCCACAGTGATAGAAGAGACAGTTATGAGTTCACATCCAGCTTTCAGATTAGAGTCTTTTAGAGGAGATGGAACGGAAGATATAGAGAGATACCTAAGAAGATTTGAGCAGTACCAAGCGTGCACAGGTATTAAAGATGAACAGGCGTTTGCCACTTTAATTTGGTATTTGGACGGACACGCCCGCCTGTGGATTGAGTCATTAGTGAGTCCACCTACAACACTCGGAGGACTAAAGGCAGCTTTAAAAGAAAAATATAAGGTTAACAAACCGATAGACTTAAACATATTTCTGCTGAAACAAAACCACAATGAAAATGTCGAACAATATATTCACAGGCTGGAAAATGCATTACTTTTACAAAAAAACAGAGTGGACGATGCGATAGCAGTACAGATCGCATTGTCTGGCATGGATAGAAATATTGGATCGGCTGTGAGCACCCATAATCCTAAAAACTTGGATCAAGTCAAGGATATTGCATCCAAAATGACCATTGCTCCTGCAATTTCGGTCAACGCTGTGGACAAAATAACACAACCCACAGCCATCGAAAGCGCTGTGGAAGTATTGACGGCCGCGGTGGCTAAACTTACAACGACAGTAGAAGAACGAAATTCGGGAACATCAAGGCAGAGTGACCACATGGGAAGACAATATCACTACAGACATAGGGATAATCAAGGCAATGGTGCTGGGACCCAGGGACGAAAACAGACAGTGCAATGTAGAAGATGTGGAGGTAGGTGTCTTTCTAGAAATTTGTGTAAGGCAATTGGGAAAGTTTGCTATAAATGTAATGGGGCAGATCATTTCGGAAATGTTTGTGAAAATGTAAGACAGCAAAATAATTTTTTATCGAAGATAGGAATTAGGGCCTATCCCTGCGATTTCCTGCAAGGATGGGCACAATAATAAAAAAATAATAACAAGTTCTGATAGTGACATTAAAAATAAAAGACACACTCATTATCAACAAAAGGGGTCTAAAAGCAATTATATACAAAAAACTAGAATGACTGGAACAAATTGTCACTTACAAATTAATTCGGAAAATGTCCTAAATAACGTAGAAGTAAATGCAAATTTTACAGCAAGCATGAATAAAAACACAGTATCTGTCACAGTAAATGGTAAGCACACCAATGCTTTGATAGATACTGGCGCATCTGTATGTTGTATAAGTCATTCATTTTTAAAAAAGGTTTATCAGGATAAAACACCCCAAATATCAACATCAAGTACAGACTCAATTATAGGAGTAGGGAAAACAAAGCATAAAGTGATAGGTTCTGTAGAACTAAATGTTTCCTTAGGAAATCTAAAATTGCCATATAATTTTCTTAGTCATAGAAGAATTGCACCATTCGTTAATCATTGGGCATAATTTTATGGAAAAATACAGAATGAAATTAGACATTTTTGGAAAAAAAGTAACTGTATGTGATAATTTAGAAGTATGTTATTTGCGCACAGAGACAAGTTTCGCGCGCACCGTAAAACCAACTACTATTAAGGCAGAAAGTGAAGTTGAGATTCAAGTTAAGATAGCTAAAATCAGTTCTGGAGAACAAATTTTATTAGAACCCATTCAAAACCTTTGTAATGACAATCTTTTAGGGGCAAAATGTCTTGTTACTGTAACTAAAGGAAAGGCGATATTTAGGCTAATAAATCCGACTCAAAATGATATTCATTTAAAAAGTAACAAAATTGTAGCAAGAATCGCGGAAGTTGATAGTAAAAGAATATTTGCATTAGAAACAAAAAGTAAAGAACAAACATGTCACAGAAAAGCGAAAGAGCAAAACTCAGTTACTTTTAGTTTAGAGGGTGCTGACTTAAATGAGTATGAAAAAAAAATTATTAAAACTTTTAAAAGGTAATAATGATATTTTTTCAAAAGGTTTACACGACTTAGGAAAAACAAACTTACAAACACATGTCATAGAAACAGGAGACAATCCCCCTGTAAGAACCCCATTTTATAAACAAAATCCGATGATACGAAGGGAATCAAAACGTCAAGTTGACAATATGGTAGAAACGGGGTTATTAAAAGAAAGTAACTCAAACTGGCACTCCCCAGTAGTCTTAGTTAAAAAGGCGAATTCAGATGAATATAGATTTGCGGTAGATTATAGGAAGTTAAATAAAATAACAACTCCCCAAGCATATCCTATTCCAAGATTGTCCGACATTTTTGATGCTATAGGTGAATCAAATGCAAATTATTTTTCTTCTCTTGATTTGGGAAAAGCTTTTTGGCAAGTGCCTTTAGATGAAGAAAGCAAAAAGAAAGCAGCTATTATCACATATGATGGAATATTTGAGTTTCAGACAATGCCTTTTGGTCTACAAGGAGCAACTGCAACTTTTCAGATGCTCATGATGAAAGTGCTTAAAGGTATCTCCTGGAAGTATGTCCTTTGCTATGTTGATGATGTTTTAATATACTCATCAACTTTCGAAGAACATCTTAAACATCTCAGTGAGGTATTTAAGCGGATTCGTCAAGCAGGATTGAAATTATCACCAAAGAAATGTTTCTTTGCTCAGAAAAAATTAAATTATTTGGGACATGTACTTAGTAAAGATGGAATTCAAACTGATATAAAAAAGATAGAGAAAATTCAAAATTTAGTGGCTCCAAAAGATAGAAAGGGTATAAAATCACTGTTAGGTTTAACTAACTATTACAAAAAAATTGTGGCAGGCTATAGCAAAATATGTGCTCCCATATTTGAACTTTTAAAGAAAGATATACCATTTATATGGTCAGAGAAATGTGAAAGTGCATTAAATCAATTAAAAATGGCATTGACTTCTGCTCCAATATTATCATTTCCAAACATGGAAAAACCTTTTATTCTTACATGTGACGGTTCAAGAAGTGCGTTAGGTTTTATTTTAGGCCAGTTAGATGAAAATAACAAAGAACATGTAATAGAATATGGCAGTCGATCATTGCGGGGATCAGAAAAGAATTATTCAGTGTCAGAATTAGAATGTTTGGCAATAGTTGAAGGAATTAAATCATATAAATCATATCTCTCAACAGGAACAAAATTTACCATATATACTGATCATAAAGCCCCTTTTGACTTGTCTTAAACAATCTAATAAACTTCTATCAAATGGCAGATTAGCAAGGTTTGGTCCGCCTATTTCTACAAGACTTTAATTATCAATATTGTCTACCGAAAAAAGGACGCGTTTTTGAATCAAGCAGATGCCAAACTATCTAGAATTAACTGCCAGATGCTTTAACATTACAATGGGAAGGTTTCATCTCAACCTAACCTCAGTCCCCTTAAAACAAGTGGGCCAGAAATTATATCAAGACTAGGAAACAAGCATACCGGGTCTAGACATGCAAAAATAGAGAAAACTAAATCAGCTCAAATTAGATGTTAAGTTGGCAAAACGGTAGAGATTAAATAATCAAAGGTGAATGGTTAGAAACTTCCAAATTTGAAATATGAAAGTAAACCAATCAATAAATTCATTGCTAATTGATAAGGAAAAATGTAATGATGAAGATTTAGGAAATACAGACTTTACAAAAGATGAAAATAAACTTTAACTAATAGAAATGCAACAAAATTGTCCAGACTTTAAACATCTTTACAATTACATTAAAACCACGGAACTTCCCACAGATATAGATGACAAAATAAAACGTTGGATATTAAACGAAAAAGAATACTATGATTTGGTAGATGACATTTTAATTCATATCTTTCAAACTCGAGCTAAGAAAAAACCAGTTGATGAAAAATTCATTTTTCAAATAGCTTTACCCCGGGAGGAAAGATTAAAAGTTATGCAAGCTTATCATGACGAAAATGGACATTTTGGGTTAAAGAAGACTTTTGAGGCTATCAGAGCAAAATACTTTTGGCCACACATGTTTTTTAAACAAATTTAAAGGATTATGTAAAAAAATTGGGGAAAAAAATGTCAGAAAGCCCAAAAAGGGGGACTAAACTAAAACAACCCCCTTTTAAACCCCCCTTTCCGGGGTTTCGAAAAGTAAATTTTGGTTTGAATGGCATAAACCCAATGATTTTGGGCCCCCTTTCTAGAACTTCAGAAGGTTTATGAAAAAATATCCTAGTAGGGAGTTTTAAAAAAGTTTTTTTTACGTTGGAACAGAAGCCCCTTTTCCCCTTAAAAACAACGTCAGCTTTTTGAAAAATTTTTAAGGTTTTTACATGAGGAAAAAAAATTTTTTAGATATTTGGTTTGGGTTTCCCAAATTTTTATTGTTTGTGACAGAGGTTTTGAAAAATTTTCCCCTCAAAGCTAAATAAAAAGCTTTTTTGAAAAAAAATAAAGTTTCTTGACATAAAACAGCTAGTTATAACCCTAGAGCTAATGGTGCCGTGGAAAAACAGAATTTAACTATCAAACAAACACTAAGAATGTATATTGATAAAGATCAAAGAAATTGGCATCTATTACTACCTACAGTGATGATGTCAATGAGGTCATCTCCTAATACTGAAACATCAGGATTCAGTCCATTTAAAATGATATTTGGTAGTGAAATGCGATTACCATATGACACTACTTTAATACCAAGAGAATCGTTAAGCACAGACGCAAAAATACATATTGAGCAATTGTTTGAAAGACTAAGACTGATTCATACACAGGCTAAACAAAATACAGAGTTAACACAAAAAGAAAGTAAAGAAAAACATGATGTAATAGCAAAAGAATCCGTCTTTGTTCAAGGAGATTTAGTACTGCTCAAAGTGCATAAATCTAAACCAGGATTATCTCACAAACTACAAGACCAATGGTCATCAAATATCTACTACATCAAATACAAAGGACCTCATGACACTTATAAAATTGCAGATTGTCAAACTGACAAAAATCATATACCCCTAGTAAATGCAAAAAACTTAAAAATGTATAATGATCCAAAGAATTATAGGGTAGAATATAAAAATTCAACTGAAAATGGTGGGATAATAAATACTGACAACAATTAAATAAACAAAATGCTACAAATCATGAGACTGATAGAGATGGTGAATCAAAAAGCACATTTAGCTCTGATGAAAATAACAAATCATATACAGACACTTCTGTAGATAATAGAAATAATGATAACACAGGAAAATGGTTCCGTGCAAACAAAATACTTAAAATAAGAGTGAAAGGTAAACAAAAAGAATGCCTAATCGAATGGAAAAATTCAAAATTCAAACCAAGCTGGGTGCTTGAAGAAGATGTTAGTGAATTTTTAAAACGAACATATTACATAACTCATACAAAAATGGGTAAAAGGCGGCGCAGGCCTTATAGATATTTTGACACCAAATAATTTGTATAAAATTTAAATGTCAATCAGTAGTTTTACACTGTTGCCCTTAGGTATGTTAACATATTATAGAACAAAATAGAGTTTAAATACTTAGATATATAAACATGATGCTTTTTGGGTGATGTATATTTAATATTTCATAAACTTTAATATAATATACTGATGTATACATGATACACACAAAACAAAAGCTAATGTGGTGAAGCCAAAACCTAAGAAAGTCTCTAAACAAGATATTTCTGACTCATAGTGCTAGAATTAGTAGAATCCGGAGTCTACAAATTCAACCGGCCTAACTACATTCCACTTTCATTAATTTTATATTTTAGTTTGGGAAAAATTACTGCTGATCTCATTCATCATGATGACTCTATTTTCGTCGGTGTGTTCAGTACATAGGGAACTACAGAGATTGAATTATGGTGTTGTTTTTGAACCAGGAACCAAAATACACATGGGTAAAGAACATTGGGTGCATACCTTTGAGGTAGAATTACCTAAAGAGGTGAACTTGGTAGATTTATCAGGGTGTTCAAAAAGCAAAAAGACCTGTGAGTACATAAACAAGGTTCTTACAGAAATAAATAACGTCAGAATTAATACCAAATATTTCATAAATGAATCAATAAACACAATTGAAAATCTAATTATATTGTTAAAAGTAGAAGTAAAAGGTCTTTACTTCCGTTCATTGGTTCTTTGAGTAAAAGTTTGTTCAACACTGCAACTATGGATGATGTTAACTTATTGGCTAAACATATCAATGTTTTAAACCGACTTAATCGAAAGCGAGTTGCATCTGTTCAACACCATGAAGATCATTTAGCTTCTTACATGCAAACTGCAAATAACAGTTAGAATGTCCAACTTAATGTCAGGCATAAAAGAAAACGAAATGGCAATAACGCACATTCAATCACAATTATATGACAGTTTTGATGACTTAGAAAAAACATTCTCATCAATGAATGTCTTAGTAACAAAACAGATAGAAAAGTCAAGAAGAATTGAATCTATTTTTAATAATCTTATTTCGGGTGTATACAGCTTAGTTGACGGTATACTGTCTCCATCTTTAATTCCCTTTGAAACCATGCAAACTACTCTAGAAGATATAAAATCTATAATAAATCATAAATACTCTCAATTCCATCTTATTTATAACGATGCTAAAGACGTTTACAAAAACGTTGATACACTATACGCAAGATTAGAAAACAAATTGTATATTTCCGTGAAATTCCCAATTTCTCCTTTTAAACACCCATTAACTCTTTACAAAGTGATATCATTTCCAGTTCCAGTGAATGATAGTACAGACCATGCAACCCAATTATTAGATTTACCTGACCTATATGCTTTGACACATGATAATCAATTCTACATGGAACTATCCAAGGAAGACACAGTAAAATGCAAGCAAAACAAAAAACTACTAATTTGTAAAATGTTATATCCTATAACTCAAGATAGTTGCACCTTGGCATTACTTCAAAATGACAAAGCCAAAGTGAAAACTGTATGTCACTTCAGATTATTAGTTAATCATTTAATGCCTAAAATACAGAAAATATCAGCCACTTCAATTTTAGTTTATAAAATTGACATATTGGAACTAAATTGTAAAACAAATAAGCAAATGCTAAAAGGATGTAATTTTTGTATTATAACCATTCCCTGTGGTTGTTCTGTATCAACTCCTCAACTCTATTTACCTCCTAGATTATCAACTTGTCACAATAAAAGTATTTCAAAATTACACCCAGTAAATTTAGCATTATTACAGCAATTTTTTAACGATTCCTCATTAAATAACATTGATCCGAATTCACTTTTTGAAAATCCTCTAACAGTTAATGTACCTGCATTTACAATATACCAGCATAAAATGTCTAATATATTAGCTGATGATAGGAAAACGCATTTAAGCTTAGAAAAAATGGCTAAAGCTGCTAAGAAAGATGAACTTGTATTTCAATCATTGTCAGAACCACTATTGTCTGGCGATATTATATTAGAACAGTCATGGCCAACAACAAATGACATTATACTCTATGTTACTATGGCGATAGCGATTCTCTCACTGATATTATTCATCATTACTGCAATTAAACTTAGAAAAGTTTTAGCAATATTGAGTGTATTACAATTAACAAACAAAAAAGTAGCGGCTTCAAATTTACCTTCGTTTATTTACAAACAAAATTCAGTCAATAAACAAGAAAATCCATCTTTTTCGGATAACTTCAACATTGAACTTAATCATTTTATATTGGGTCTCGCAATAGTTTCTCTTATAGGTATTATTATAATCATTTGGAAGCTGTGTCATAAAAAGACTTCTTACACAGCGTTAATAATAGAATTAACTACCGGTGAAGAATGTGTACAAGTACCGGTACAAAAATTATCATTGTGCCCATCTTTCTGGAAAATAACTGTTCCTAAAAATGTGGAGCGTGTTTCAATACAAGGAATTATATCTCCAACATTATATTTTGATTGCGATGATTTTAGAATACTTAATAAGTTAACTGACAAATCTTGTCAAGTCAAACAAAATGTCCAGATTACTTACTTTCAAAGTAGAAAATTGAGAAGAATTTTGGAACAAGTCTATAATATTCATTTCCATATTCAGCATAAAAATCTGCTTATTCCATTACAAGTAACCAATTGCTCAACATGTTCTAGTTGACACCTCTTTTCCGCGGAATATTAATTTTTCTAACATGTTTACAAATGTTACACATGGTAAATTGTGTTATATTGTTTTCTGTTATACACAAATTTGTTTTTGTATATGTTACATACTTAGATTTGATATAAAAAAAAACATTGTTAAGAAACTTAACTTCATATATATGTGTAGTTATCGGTATATACATACATTTGCTGCTTAAATTTTGGTTATTTTTTTCAATCTTTTTATCAAACTTTATAGGAATAAAGTGTTTTTAGGAGGAGAGGTAGTGTTCTGACGTGAAAATAAAGATATTATTATGAAATTATTGATATTGTAAATATATATATATTTATTATTGAAATATTATTCAGTTTAAATAATTAAAACAACAACAAATTCTCAAAGATTTTCATCAGATACTGTATTGAATGAACCATTGTTTTTTTGATATGCCCGAGGATATATAATAATTCTTTTTTTCTTTTTGTAAAATAATGACCCATCCATATGATCCAGTCAGTTATATAAATATTTGAAAACTTTATATGTAAATTAATGAATTATAGATTCTACTTTGAAATTTGTAAAGAGGACAATACTTATTTAAAAGCATGAATGAAGATGATAATAGTGAATACCAGTAACAGATATATCTTCTGTATTTCCTTCATATAGTTGTTTATTTTTAAGTTACTTAATTACCGGCTTAATTGAACCTAACTGACCTTAATTAAACTGCTAATTAAGAAGACAGTACAGAAAGAAGACCTGTAGCGAGGCAAAGCCCTTAATATTTCAATTTCGTTTAAGGGCTGGTCAAACGCACACCGTTTATGACAAATGAGGGATATTTGAAAATATTAAAATTCCCACCCTTATCAGATAATTCACAGCAATTATAAATGCATAAGGGGCCGGGGAAATCCCCTTTAATTCTTATGTTTACAAAATAAAACCAATATTTACTCACCCTTCCCGTCACATTCGTAAATTTTGCAGCCTTACATCGCTAGAAATCAGTAACCAGATAATAATCCAAGATCAACAGAGATTTATTTCTTCTCTTTTACTTTTTGCAGGTTAATTAAGTCCATTTTTTGCCACACAAACGAAATCATCACAGCACTATATTTATATTGAAACTATACCGCGTGCAGACACAATACACCTACTGACCCAATGACATATTTTTGTGTAAATTACAGAAGTTTATTTAACGGCACAGTAGAAAGCGCGTGCCAACAGGTGACCAATCACAATACAATATAATTCAGGTTAAGAAAAGGTTAAAGTTGACAGATGATATTTGTAAACAATTTAGTCTAGACATTTTGATTCAGTACTGTCTTTCTTTAATATACAAAAGAAATTTAGTTGCGATTCATAATTCATATTTTTGAATGAATGTTGTCCTCTGTAGACATGGTTTTATATATATATTTAGGATTCTTTTTTCTCGTGTTTATGTATTTGTATGCATACTGAGATAATCAAATAAACTTGGAAACTTGGAATGAGATGTAGACACAGTATGTACAAATTCTACAGACAAATAAATGTCAAATTAATGTTTTTGAAACAATAAAGTTGTTACTTGAATTAGTCTACATGTCACATAAGTATGAAGAACAAGTGGTCAATTTGTAAACAGATTGTTATATACATGTTTGATTCTAATTGGTCAATTTAAAACATTTTGTGTATTTTCGGAATTTTTCATTGGTTGACTCTTTAAATGTCTTATGACATACATAACCTTTATAAGCTCGTCGTTTCCTGAAGTCGGCAAAAATAGCATTAGCAAAATAAACTCAGGAAGCTTACGACGATTTTTTATATCTTTTAGATTTTGAAAATCAATGACTTTAAGTCAGTAAAAGCTCATAGCCTGAGACAATTCCCCAAACCAGAGCAACAACAACAACAAGGAAAAATACGCTGCACAATTAGCGGCACAACATATTGACTATTCTAGACGTAATGACTCGTTGTCTAAAAATTGCAGTACTTTCTTTCATTTAAGATAAGTTTTGCAAAATAGATATTTGACTTCGTAGATATGACTTTTTTTTAGACAGATAAGTTTTGCAAAAGAGACAAAATGAGTTGTTTTGCATGCCAATAACGATTTATGGGCTTCACAGAATAAATTGCAGAGATTTGACTTCGTTAATATGACTTTTTTTAGATAGGATGACTTCATTATAAGTTGGTGATGTGATGACATTATGAACTGAAATATGTGACATCTCAACATATTCATTTGTATGACATTATTAAATAATTTTAGCTGGACATCAGGTGTTTGCATGAAAAACTCTAAAGCTATGGCAACATTAAGAATTTATATCAAAGATGTCCTAGAAATGTTATTTAGAATGCGTATCACATTAAAACTAGGAAATAACAACTCGTGCTGTGTACTTAGTAATTTTTTACATTTTCATTTACCAAAAATGTCAGGGGCAAAATGATAATTTACAATAGATTAATGTAAACAAATAGATTTTTTCAACATTAATAAAAGAGAGAAATGACCTCCCTATCTCTTTCACTATTTAAAATATTAAACACACTTTGCTAAATGTACAAGATAGTTTTAGCTGAACATATTATCGTATTATTGGTTGAACAAACTAATATCCATTGCAATGTAAAGTCGTTTAAATTTGTCCTTAAAATCAATAATAAAGTGTATTCATACCCAAAACACCGTGACGAATAGGTCATTAAGATCTAAATATACAAATAATTGAAAGCATTGAATATCAACGCCGCTGTTTAAAGTAAAATATTTCACGAGAATAAAATTCATAATTTTCAGGTAAAATGTATTTAAATAACATGTATTCTTAAATAAAACTCTGAGCATAATTTTCAGTTAAGTACTATGAAATACTTATCGTATATATTGAGAATAAAAACAGAGCAGAATAAGTGAATAAATGATAAATTAGTTTGTTTCCTATGATAAAATAGTGGAAAAGGAGTGATCCTTGCGGGTTCAAACCCCGACA